TGTTACACATAATTTGACTATCAAAATTTGACTATCAAAATTCAAACAGACACATAATTACGAATTAGTACCTGCCATTGTTACACATAATTTGACTATCAAAATTTGACTATCAAAATTCAAACAGACACATAATTACGAATTAGTACCTGCCATTGTTACACATAATTTGACTATCAAAATTTGACTATCAAAATTCAAACAGACACATAATTACGAATTAGTACCTGCCATTGTTACACATAATTTGACTATCAAAATTTGACTATCAAAATTCAAACAGACACATAATTACGAATTAGTACCTGCCATTGTTACACATAATTTGACTATCAAAATTTGACTATCAAAATTCAAACAGACACATAATTACGAATTAGTACCTGCCATTGTTACACATAATTTGACTATCAAAATTTGACTATCAAAATTCAAACAGACACATAATTACGAATTAGTACCTGCCATTGTTACACATAATTTGACTATCAAAATTTGACTATCAAAATTCAAACAGACACATAATTACGAATTAGTACCTGCCATTGTTACACATAATTTGACTATCAAAATTTGACTATCAAAATTCAAACAGACACATAATTACGAATTAGTACCTGCCATTGTTACACATAATTTGACTATCAAAATTTGACTATCAAAATTCAAACAGACACATAATTACGAATTAGTACCTGCCATTGTTACACATAATTTGACTATCAAAATTTGACTATCAAAATTCAAACAGACACATAACCCATTGTGACAACTCCATCGGGCGCCTTTCAACAGGCCTTGCTTTACCAACACTTGTAAAGCCTTCTCACCGACATGCCCTAGGCGCATTTGCCAAAGTTTGGAAGTGTCTGATGCATTATCTTCTGAGCTGGAACTGGTGGAGACAGCCACTCTCCCTGTGACTGTAGAGCCATCTAGGAAATATAAATTTCCCTGTCGAGTACCCTTCATTGCAACCAATGCTCCTCGAACAACTTTAAGGACTCCACCTTCCATGGTTACTCTGTAACCTTTGGAGTCTAAAACTCCCATAGAGATGAGATTCTTGGTTAGATCTGGTACATACCGTACATCTTCAAGAATTCTGATTGTTCCATCATGGATCTTCAGTTTAATTGTTCCAATCCCTTTTGTCTGGCAAGCTTGGTCGTTGCCCATCAGCACAACTCCTCCATCGAACTCTCGTAAGCTCGACAACCACTGCTTGTTAGGACACATATGGAATGAACATCCGGAATCTATTATCCATTCATCAGACTGGCCATATGATGAAAATGTGAAGGCTCCTCCTTCATCATTATCTCCATCTCGTACAATATTCACCTTCTCTTCTGTCTTGTCTTTATTTGGACAATCTTTTGCCCAATGCCCCTTCTCGCGACAAGCTGCACACTCGTCTTTTGCAAGACGTCTTTTGTCTGAAGGTTTCCCCCTGGATTTTGAGCGAGACTTTCCTCGCCTTGTATTTCTTCTGTTATTTGTTCTGCCTCTGACTGTTAATGCCTCGGATGTTGAGTCCCTGTTTGCAGACTTATCTTTCCTTCTGAACTCATTGTTCACCAAGGCGTTTGCAACATCAATATACTTGATCTTCTCTTTACCGTACAGTAAAGTAGTAGTGAGATGATCATACGAGTCAGGCAAGGAATTTAACAATAACAGTGCTTTGTCTTCATCACCAACTTGATCATCCAAATTCTTCAAATCCGTAATAATTTTGTTAAAGTTATTTAGGTGTTCGTTCATCGAAATACCTTTAATGTAGTCGAAACGAAACAACCTCTTCCTCAAGTAGAGCCGGTTCTCAATGCTCTTTGTCATGAACTTATCTTCCAGCGCCTTCCAAAGCTTCTTCGCAATATCATATTCTGTAAAGGCATACGTCTCCTCTTTTGCAAGGCAAAGTCGGATGGAACTGCAGGCCAGGAGATTCACCCTCTCCCATTCTATCTCGTCCAGGTCATCTGGTTTGTCTCCCAGAGTGAAGTGCAGGTTCATTTGGACAAGTATATCCTTAACTTCGCATCTCCACATGCCAAAGTTGCTGCTTCCATCGAACTTCTCTACCTCGAACTTGGCATGGGACACCGGGGTCGAATGCCTAGAAGTGCTTGTACTGGCTGAATTACTTACGGACTCGGTTGATCTAGATTCTGCCATTTTTTTAGAAACTTCAATTAAAAAAACTGACCGTACAGATGTGTCCGGAATACTCCAAATAGTTGGGAAGCACTATTGGATCGTTAAAAACGGACTCCAAATGGCTCCAATCTGGCAAAAACACTTTGGACGGGTCAGATCTGCAAAATCTAGTGCGTTGAGATGCACCGGATAATTTCTCTGGTCAACGGCTCGGTCAACGGCGCAGGCGGCGCGGTCAACGGAGGATCGGCGGCGCGGTCAACGGAGGATCGGCGGCGCGGTCAACGCGGCTCCGGCTCAACGGCTTGGCTTCGATCGGCTGATGACGTCGGCTGGCGTGGGCGCGTGCGGCGCGTGTCTGCGCGTGAACGCACGCGTCGTCTACCTCTGAAAGCGCGTGCGGCGCGTGCGTGAGACTGGGCCGACGCGCCGACTCTCTTCACGGCGCGTGGGGGCGCGTGCAGCGACTGGGCCTCACGCGCAAAATCCCAGAGGCGCGTGAGAGCGCGTCCGGCCTCCGTTGGGCTCTGTTTTTGCTGTTCTGGACTCCTCTCGGGGAGTTCTTCCTGCTGGTATGGTCAAAAGTGGATTTTGAGCACTTCGAAATCTGGGCACTTTCGAGAAAAATTCGATTTTTCGCAAACCGAGCTCTGATACCAATTGTTGCGGATCGAGGGCACACCAGGGAACTCAAACAAGCAATAACACACAAGATTTAACGTGGTTCGGCAAGTCGCCTACGTCCACGGGCAGCGGATTCACTATGTTGAACAAAATGGTAAGAATTACAACACTCTCTGTAATTCTCTCTCTCTTTGCTCTCTAAGCTCACACCTCTGTTATCTCAGCTGTGTCCTCAACTCTCCTTAGCTTCTCTATATATAGAGATTACAAATGCAAGAAAATGAGCTGGCTGCCAGCCCATTGTTGTGCTTTCGGTGGCTTTCCAAATTGAACCTTCACATGGCTTCTCTCATGGCCTCATGGCCAACTCACATGGCCTCATGGCTTCCCCACCATGTAGCTGGCTGCCACTTTCCATCACATGGCCAGAATCTGTAGCCAATATTCAACAGAGTGCAGGGGTAGGAATATGAGTGGGGTTAGGATTTGAGAGGGCAGAGGGTAATTTTAATCTTAAGTGAGGTGTTCAAAAAAAATATATATATATATATATAATATAAAATTTATAAATGGGGTTTCAAAATAAGTGAGACTAAAAAAAAAAAAAATAGTGGGAATATTAGCAATCATAGGAGAGGTTCAAGATGTTTTTTTTTTTTAATTAGCTAAGGTCTCTCGATGAAATTTCTTTATCTTTATTTCAAAACTGAAATTTTTCTGTGTCAGGCTAAAATTTCTTTGAGTCAAGTCAAAAAATTTCTGAGTCGATTTTCTCTATAAAAATGTTGAGAAACCCTAACTACTATGAAAATATGGTATCTAATTTATTTTATAAAATTTTAATAGCAAGGACCTTAAAAAAATTCTCCCCTCATCTATCGTATTTGTCTAATACTTTTGTGTAGAAATAATTGAATTAAATTATTTCAATTATAAACAAGTGAATATAAAATTTTCAAATGGAATCAATTCAAATAAATGGATATGTGGATTAATCCCAATAACAAAAACAACATATTTTCGAAATGAGAAATGAAACACAAGTTTTAAAAAAAAATGCTAAGAAAAACATTTTTTTATGTAATTATTAAAATTAGTTTTAAGAAGATATTTGACAAATTACTTTTGTGTAAGAAATTATAATTTCTAACCGAGCTTAAACCTTTTTTTCCTCTTTTTGGGACTTTTTTTTCTCATTTATGACGGCTAAAAACATATAAATAAATAAAAATAAACTGATTTTCTTGTCACAAATTGAGAGTTTGATTTTTCTATGAAAAAAAAAGGGAACAACCAATGCGGAACATTCATTACTAGACATAAAATAAAAAGAGCCTTGTCACCTAGAAGCCAAGGTTTCTTAAATGACAAAAATATGAGTAGACTTTCAAGTTTAGCGGCTCATTTAGTAATATCATAAATAAGTTGTTTATTGACTTATTAATTTTTTTATATCAAATCACTTTTTTATTTTTTTAAACGCCTTTTCATAATAAACAAAACTTTCAACTTATAAATCCTCATAGAGTAAACTATCAACAGGTCTTAATAGTTAAACTTAATTTCCATAAAATCTTATTGAAAATATGTCTTACTACAATCGTCACTAAAAATAATTTTTGTGATAATTTTTTACATATGTTGCTAAAAATTGACTATCAGTGACTTTTTTGTCATGATTTTTATAAATTGTCGTTAAAACTTACAATTAGTAATGTTTTTATGTGACGAATTTTTCAAATTGCCACTGAAAGTTAAAAATTAGTGACGTTTTTTTATAATGATTTTTTTAAACTGTCGTTAAAACTTATAATTAATGACATTTTTCGTAATTAAAATTTCAAACTAATGCTAAAAATTAACAATTAGTGATTTTTTTAATAGTATATAATGAAAAATGTCATTAATTATGATAAGGACCTATTAAACAGTAAGTCCACTTAATATGACATACTCATAAGTCCCTAGACCATACCCAAAAGCTCACATAGGATGATCCACTTGATCATTGCAACGCAAAAATTACTCTTATATATGCCTATTTGTACTCTATATTTTGTGCTCTTCTTATGAAAGGAAAATCCACTTGGACATCACATTGGTTGATGGACCGATTGAGTTTCACAATAAAGACTCTTATCTTCATTGATTGATTTTATTAAGATAACAAATTACATTTACCCAAAAAAAAAAACACCACATAAAAAAAAAAATTATGGAAATGCGCTGAAGAATTTCATTGATACAAATTTGCCTCAAATTGGGTTTCTATACCAAATTGGGGATTAAATATACAAACTTTACATGATATTCATATGGCCTTAATTTTAACCTAAGGCTCCCCATTGAATATCTCTGTCTACAAATTACTTTAACTCAAACTTTATATATATGTGTAGGCCTAAGCGGGTATTAGTTAGCCACTAATCCACCACGTCAATAGACTCTCAATTTTCTCATGTCTCTCCAAAACCTATCCCATTCTCAATTTCAACACCATGTACAAATTTGTATCCCAATGGGTGTCATGAAAACTTAGAATTGACCCCCCTCAAATGTTTGGCCAAACTGCCAATTAGCAGGCACCGCGTTGTAGCTAGTAACAGTCCTTCCATCACTAGTAGTGACTTGAAATGAGAGCGACTGGCCATTGAGCAAGGAGTTACTCTGCCAGTTTTGGCCCCAATTCCTTGACATGGGTTGCCACCCTGTGTTAGACCCCTTAATCGACACCGACTGGACGTCTCCTGCGCCACCAACGTTGCTGACCAAGACCAAGTTGAAGTAAGAGTGACCATTGATTGTAAATCTTATTCCTCCTTTCTTCACACAAGGCACCCTGTCAAGACCATCACACAACCATATTTGTGAGTCAATTTAGAGGAAGGATAAATTATTATCTGTAAGACACGATCCATGTATCACACTCAACACGAGAGCACAAACTCCTTGGTTTTTATTCCTTTGTCAAATTTACTAGCACAAATCAAGCAAATCTTTGACTAAACTTTAAGTTGATTTTTTAACTTTTGGAAATGTAGAGGAAAGAAAAAATAGGGAAAAAAAAAATCCTAGTTGCACAAAATTAAATCGCCAAAAATTATATAGAAGACACATAGGGGTGTGGAGCCCACACCCATCTTTGTGTTCTGTGCAACTAGCAAAGCTGTAGGATAGTTAGTGAGCAACCCTTACCTTTGGAAAGACACAGGAACAATTCCAGCTTTGTATTGGGCAATTTGTAAGAAAGCAGGCTCTGCTAAATCAAAATGTTGGAGGGGAGGGTTGCACCACCCACCATTGTCATTAGACTGAGAAGGGTTAGGTGGGCAGAAGTTTGTAGCAGTCACAGTGATGGTCCCAGGGAGACACCATTGTGGGTCATCATTGCATTTGATCTCATAGCATGCTCCACAACTCAAGCCATTGTTGAATAAAGCAGTGCTTAGTGCTGCAGTGTTAGTACCATAACCTTGGCTATACAAATTTCCATATCCACAAGCGCCTCCTGTTACACCAAAATCATCATGGATAAGAAACCCATATCCGAAACTATCAATTTTTATAAAATTTTACATTAGACAAAGTAACTTATATATATATATATATATATATAATTCACAAAAAGTCAAAGATTCTCTTTTCTCTCTACTTTTTGCACATCTTTTCGTAATTAGCCAAAAAGTCATCCCAAACATACAAGTTTTTTTTACCTACCTTTTTAACCAAATAGCTAAAAAGTTACTAAATTAGCCTGTTCCCAAACGAGGCCTCAATAGCAAAGAAGCCATTGTGGTCTAAAACTCAAATTAAAGTAAAATTGTGAACCTGCGACAAAGCAATGTAACTTTGTTTTGCAAAATCGGTAATACTATCGTAACTACTCATAATGTAGTGCTAGCAACACCTGCATTCATTTTAGAAGGGATCACATGAATAAATTTTGTGCATTTTTTTTTTTTTTTTTTGGGTGTATAACTTGTCTAACTTACCCATTGTGCCAGTTGCATCACCCCCACCATAGAAAGTGGCATGAGCACCTTGCCACCCTCCATAGTCACCATAAGCGCCATGGAGGCATAAATTGAAGAAGAAGAAGAATAGAAGAGAAACAATGGAAAACGCTTGAATAGCCATTGAGAGAGTGTGTGAGAGAGAGATGGATAGATGATAGAGAGGAGAGAGAAGATTGTGTGTTAAGAGCTTCTTAGTAGAAAAAGAGGGAATGGGGCTTTACTTATATAGGAAAATGGAGGCCAAGTTGAGGACTTTGAGGAGTTAGATAGATGGGGGCATTGTTGTATGTTTGAATGTGACAACTTAGAAATGGTAACATTTGAGAGAGAAGGCAAAAACCACAAAATCTGAATCAAATAATGTTTTTTTAAGGTCATTTTACAAGGGATCAAACGGTGCACATGCACATGTTCCTACTAAACTATACCAACAGCTAAGCTCACATGACCCCACAAACCACATGCCCAATTGGAAAATTGTTTTGTTTTTCTTCTCTCATTCGCCTAAAATATGCAGTGAATTAAAGCGATTTTTGTTTCGGTGGAAATGATTTAGAATTGAATTAATAATTCTATGAAGTGCATAATTTGATATTTGACAAAGAAAATTGAAATACATAAGAGTCCATCTAGACAAGTATCCTCATTATTAAATTCCAAGTGAGGGGTGGGATATAAAATGCAGGGATAAGGAAAAGTTTGTATTAATTAGTTAAATTAAAAAATTAATAGAATTTTTATCAAGGATAAAAAGTATTTTACCGCCTTATAATTTTAGGCTGTTACAAATGATTTTCTTAAGTTTGAATATATGCAGACATTTCATCCATGATTTTGGATTAAATTACAATTATTACACTTCTGTCTAAATTATCGGAATTTGCAATACATGCACCAAGCTCACAAGTAAACTTTTTTTCAAACAAAAAATTAAAGTAAAATTAAACTAAAAAGACATTTATACCCTTGTCATCTTCTTCTTCACCAAAGCTTAACAATCCCAACTTCACTCTACAAACCCTAACCTGTAGCTCCATCTTTTCTATCATATGTGCTCGCTCACCATCTCCAGCAACCCCATCTTCCCCTAACTTGTAACCCAATCTTCTCTACCATATGTCCTCACTCACAATCTCCAGCAACGCCATCTTCCCTTCCCAAGCTCTACTGTCATTAGGGCTGCAAAATACGGCACAATCCGTTAAAACAACATCTAGCCACATCAATTTGTACTGTTCAATTCGCTAACCGCAAATTACATATTAAATTTTATAATTTTCTTTCGAAACTGGTCTGCTCCACTATAGTTATACATATACATTTTTTAATCTCTAATTAAATATCAAAGTAAAAATAAGTATAAGAGAGATATTTAAGATGTGAAATTTGTTACAAATTAATAGTTATACATATGAAAAATATTATGCAAATTAGTATTATATATTACGTAAATGTTTGATAATTGGTTAGAATATGGGGGTTTCTATTTGCACACACCCATTACACTCTATGCACATCCTTCTCAATAAATAACTGGTTCGGAAGTAACATTCCGAAAATAAACAACTTATTCGAAAGTAGCATTACGAAAATAAACAACTTATTCGGAAGTAGAATTTCGATTTTTTTCATTTTTTCGACATTCAACTTCCGAATGTGTGTATTGTGTATGATGTCCATAATAGTAATTTCACTTGAGAATAAAATTATAATAAAAGAGAATAAAATTATAATAAAAATAATTATCATTAAGTGTGTGCACAGAATGGAATGAGTGTATGCAAATAGAAGCTCCCTTAGAATATTGTTCAATTCGCCAATTCATCCAAAACCGCCCAAACCATGATTTGGCAATCCACCGATCCTCTAATCCGTTATTTAATATATAATTTTACTTTCAAACCGTCTGAACCTCACTGCACACGTATTATCACCTCTCACAATCCTGACCATCGCCACCACTCGATCTCCCTTCCCCTCTCCAACCACCGTCACCACCCCATCTCCTCTCCCCACCACCGGAGTTGTTCCCTCTTCCCTCCTCGACCTTCAATCAATTCAAAACATTGATGGAGCAAAGTCTCAACCCATGTATTTTGATCAGTTCCAAGCATCGACCATGGATCAGTTCCAAGCACTGATAGACAAAGCCTCTGTATGCATATATTTAATTTTTGAATAATGTTTGGGACCCCCTTTTGGGGGTCACCCCTTCACCCCCCTTTGCCACGTGGCGTGTGGTGATTGGAGGAGCAGGAAAAAAAAGAAAAAGAAAAAGAAAATGTAACCAATGAGGGAGAGAGGGGGTCAAAGGGGATGGGAAGAAAAGGGGGGATGAATTATTGTTGTTAATTTTTTAATTGATTTGCTTTGCCGATCTATTTCAACGATGATAGATTCTGATCGTATCCTCTATTGTGAATTTGTGATGATTTATATGCTCAATTCAATGTAGATTGGTTGACTCTGCGAATAACCCTCTGTGTGTAAATATATAAGTATGTATATGTATACAATTAGGGGTTTTGTTTGATTAAATAATTTGGCATATATATAATTAAATTAAATAAAATAAGTGTAAATATATAAGTATGTATATGTACACAATTAGGGGTTTTGTTTGATTAAATAATTTGGCATATATATAATTAAATTAAATTAAATAAATAAGAATTTATAGTTAATAGTAGATGATATAAGTGCTTATATTTATTATTTTTTTGTTAAATTAGTATTTAGGTTTTTTTTTTAATTTAAAAAATAAATTCTGAAAACCAAATCAAATGTTAAATGAACCATACATAAATTTCAAGCAGCAAATATATATATATATATATATTGCATTTTTCAAAACATTTTTTTTGTCATTATAGATGAATCTTCAAACAAGAATAGAGATTGGGCATCTAGAATGAAATGTCTGTTATTATTTATAAATAATATTTAGAAGAAAACCTAAAAATACTTAAATTTAAATAAAATAATAAAATAATTGCAATATACGACATACTCGATAATCAAATGTGTTTGTAATTTGCTTTAAATTAGCTTTGAAATCATAAGGGTATGTGCGCAAAGCATGGTTTTATAATCAAGTTTTTAATTCAAAATCATTGATTTTTGTCAATAAATTGTTGTGTTGTTGTTGTTTGTTGTTTTTTTTTTTTTTTTTTTTTTTAATCTTAACATTAGCTAGAGAAAGGTTTCATAGTTGAAAAATAGGGAGGGATTTAATTAAGGTCCTACCATGTTGGGGACAAATGCATCACTATCATGGTTTTGGAGCCATTAACCAATTAAGTCTAGTCTAATTAACTACTATACCTTCTGTACGACTTAAATCTTTGGGTAGGCCATAACTTCAACTATCCTTAGAGGAGTTGAATTGAGAGAATGCAAGTATTTAGGTGCTTTGTCAAGGGTGAGGAGATTTTTTCCTATAGGTGTTATTGTAATAACTAACAACTAACAACTAACATCTACCGATTAGAAAAAATAAAATAAAATAAGTTTTGGAGCCATTCATTTCCAAGCTAATATATATATATATATATATATATACATAAAGAGTAGTTACAGTGCCGACCATTTCAGAACTTGAGAGAATCGAATATGTATACACATTATATATTATCTGCATATGGAAAAACTATTTGTGTATATATGTACCAAGTAGTTTATTTTAAAAAAAATGAGAATCAACTCATGTATAATAAGTACAAAAAGAACAAATGATATGGCTAGCATTTTGTTGGCTTCTTTTAAAATAGACAATTGTAAGTTAGGAAGTTGAAAAAAAGCATCCCTAGCAACCAATAAAATGCTTTGGCCAAAATCTTCAAATTTGTCTGCTCATTGTGAGAATATTGTGGAGGTGGTGCTGAGGATTTATAAACAGAGCCCTTCAAGATTTATAGTGGATTTTCTTTGATCTTTGTTTTATTTTTATTTTTTATAATCTAGGGTAGGTAGGGCCCTTTAGATCAATCCTAGGAGCGGCGCAAACGCAAGCTATGTGCGACCGTCCGTTAACCTCACATATCAAGCAAAATAGTATATCAGAACATGAATATAAGACCTCCTGAATAGAATATGGGTGATTTTTACCATTCAAATTGACCCTCGCGGGTTTAGGATTTATTCCTAAGCATTTTTTGTTTTTCATGTAGAATGTTAACAAAAAATGGAATGGCAAACATTGAATGCAATTTGGCTTTGGTGTTCTGTCAGAAAATAATAGCTTTGTAATCAATTGATGGCAATGTGATATGAACCTATCAATACCATATAAAACACAAAAGAACAATAAACAAAGAAAGGTTGGTGCAAATTTATATTTTTTCTGTTTGGTGAAACTTTTAATTTTAGCTTTTTCAGCTTAAAATTGTAAAATTACATGTTTAGGTGGTTGTACAGTGAAAACGTAGGGAGTTTGGTAATTTTCCTTTTCAGCAACTTTTTTTGAGCTTTTTGAAGAACCAAACAAGTTGAAAACCTGAAAATTTTACCAAACACAACCTAAATACTTGTTCTATATATTTGTACTAGCTTTGATTTTGTATGACAATGAACAATTTGAGCCATAAGACAGTTATTTCCCTTTTTATGATTTAAAAATGAAAAGAAGTGTATGGTTTCAGTTTTTTATGCTAATATTTGTTTCCATTTTTATGAATCCAACAGGTTTCTGTGATCCTAAACCCCCCAAAGAATTTTCTTTCGGAGAGTTCCCATCAAACCCTAAACCCACAAAAAGCATGCCATGAGGGGATTTATTATCCAAATGTTGTCGGTTAGGAACCAATGATTGTCTGTTAGTCCCACTTGTGAGAGACTATGACCTCCCCCAACATGGAAAATAACAACATAAGCAAGAGGGACTTGAAGGATTATTTTCTAGTAAGCAATAGCACCTGCAGATAGCCCACATGAGCTTCCAGGGACCAGCACCTCATACCGGTGGTGTGCAATGTCGCAATAAAGATGTCTGCAGAGAATTCACAGAAATATACTGAATAATATAATGAGTGGTTCACATTCAACTCTCCTAGGTATTTTTCTGTGCATTGGTTCCGTGTTTGTAACATTACTCCTCCTATATACCAGCCATGTTCATTCGAGTGGTAGTTTGAGGTGGTAGGCCATCCATGGGCCTCTAAGACGCCATGTTAGTTATGTTTAGGGTCCCAAACTGGGGTT